TGAAACTTTTTCCTCCATCCTTTTTCACAGAAGTGGGAAGTAGATTTGGACCTTGAAGTTTTCCTTCCTCCAGAAATTTAATTATTGACCTCACAAGTCTAAATCCCTCTAAATTTCTGCACAGTTTTCTTAATTCACGTCCTCTCCGAGCCTGAACTTTCTACTCCCCTGCCCCATAGCTTTGTAACCCTTGTGCCCACCTCCTTGGCTTCCGAGTTGGAGATAGGCCAGATGGGGGTCTCTCTTCTCTGACCTTTTTTCATTCCCTCTGGTAGCATCATTTGGGAGGGGATGCAGGGCCCATGGGAGAATGAGGAGCAGTACAAAAGTCCTTCCAGAATCTGTAGGTCTGTTGGAGGACCTGATGTCCCCCCAGGCCAGTCCACCGAAAGAGAGCAGAGCTTTCACTTCCCCCATCACTCTCACCCTGGTCACTCAAGCCTTCTTAAAGATGCTTGCTCAGAAAGGAGACAATTTCTAGGTTCTCCATCGTCCTCTCCCTCCAAAGAAATTTCCACATGCCCTTGGATTTAAAAAATAACAGTGCTGCCTATGTGATAGGGCACCTGTCCTTCCTCTTCTCTGTGTGATGGTACCAAGGACAGCCACCTGCTGGTTTTACTCTTACGCCTGTCTGTTTTTTCAGCGGGTCTCCTCCTCCCAGACCAGAGTTCTCCCTCTCCTCGTTAAAAGTGCTAGACTGCGTGAGGCCCTCACGTGGTTTGGCTGTGCTGTTGAGGCTGTGTTTGGGGCCCAGAGTTCTTGGCCTGTCTTTGCCATTAACTGGCCTGTGGCTGTAAGCAGGTGTTCTGTGGACCTGTGTTTCCTCATTTGTTAGACGATTTCTGAATTCATTTTCAGTTCTTGCACCCTCTGTAGACTTTGTCTCACACCAGTAAAGCACCTTATGTTTCCTCATTTGAACTTCACAAAGCCTTGGTGCGGTAGGTAATGGAGGGTGACATTGTCTCTGTTTTATAGGTGAATAAGCAGATTCCCCCTAAGCCAAATCACTGGCCCAGAGTCCCCCAGTTGCTGTGTAGAGGTGGGGTTCAAACAGGGGCCCCTCGATGGTTTATTCTAGTCATTTTGAGCCCCATTACACCATCTGCCTTTGAAAAAAGGCTACAGTTCATTATAGATTGGCTCTCCTGGAAGGATTCGCTAGTTTAATATCATGGGTGTGCCTTCCACTTGTCTTGGCACCAGATACTGCCATAGACGCTATTATGACTCCAGTGTCTTACGGCCAAAGAATTAGTGAACATTTTTTTAAATAAACAGCTCTCTTTTTCTTTCTTTTCTGTGCATAGTAGGAAATAACCAGTGCAGATGACCTTATCAGCCGGAGTTATCTCATAACCCAGCAGATAGCAGAAATAAGACTTAAGAAGTCTTCTTTCTCCCAGGTTTGGTTTTCCTTCAACAGACCTCTTCTTCTGGAGTGGCTTTTAATGGCATCATAAGCAGCAATAGCGTGTCAAACTGTAGTTTCTACCAAGTTGTTTTTAAAGTTCCCCTTCTCTCAGCCACTGGAAAGGGACCGATTAGACTGGTTAGAGTCTCACCACTTTGTCACCATGTGCTGCTTTTGCCTCTCTGCTCACTGCCATGGTCATCACTGGAACATTAGTGACTGAAATCAGAGAATCCCCAAACTGACTATTTTAGACACTGATTTCAGGCTTCTAGATGAAACCTCGTTACTCTCTGTACTGTTGAACCCTCTCCTGTTATGCCTCATTGCTAACCCTAATCCCACTACTCAATTTTCACTGGTAGCTGCTGTATTGTCATTTTCCTTCTTTTTTAAAAAAAAATTTGATTCATTTTGAACTTAAATACAAAAAGACTGAGAGGATTCAGTACAAAACTATGCATTTCCATTTCAAAATGTTTACCTTTTGTTTTTAATATGTTTACCTTTTTTTAAAAAATGTATTTTCTAAGGCTAGCACCTCATCTTACCACCTGGCTGCCTTTTTGGGGAGGCCCCAGAAGCAATGACAAAGTCAGACGTACCAGAGAAGAGGCAGGGAAGCAGCTCTGAAGTCACACAGTGGTGCTGACTTCGATGCCCCAGTAAACTCAGGGTGCCTATTTGTTGGTGGGAGTTGGGGGAACTGTCTTCTACTTCCCAGCTTGACTTGTCCTTTCCAGAGAAGAGGTGGAACTATTGAGTTTGGGAGGTTAAATTTGGGCGCAGCTTTTTTTCAGACTCTATTCCCCTTTCTTTTCTGAAATCAAACACAGGCAAGAACTAGTGATTTCTTAATTCCAGAAAAAGAAGCAGTTAATATACTGGAAGTCAGAAGACCCAATTCTGAAGCTCTTAGTGACCTCATTCCTCTTGGAGTAGGCTGCCTGCCTGCCTCTCTCCCCCCCCCCCCAGTCTGTCCCTCTCTCTGTCTCTCTCCCTCTCCCTTACTCACTCTCTCTTTCCATTCCTGGAGGTCCCCCCTTCACTACAGACAGAAAGAGTAAACCAGTTGCATCTCTTTCTTGCCAACACCACACACCTTTCCCCAAAGGTGAGAGATCCCAGGTAAACGGGGGAAAAAATTTTTTTTTGATTAGGCAGTGGGGTTAAGTGACTTGCCCGGGATTACACAGCTAGTAAGTGTTATGTGTCTGAGGCCGAATTTGAACTCAGGTCCTGATTCCAGGGCCAGTGCTCTCTATCCACTTCACCATCTAGCTGCCCCCTAAACTAAATTTGATTGACAAAGTGTCCTGGTGACTTTTAATTGTATGTATTGGAAATTGGTCTATTGTGAAAAGTTCTTCCCAGAATTGGCCTGCCTGTCTGGGATCTAGCAAGCCTGTTCTGTAGTGGCCTTTGAAGAAACCGCACCCTAAGTTCATTACAAAGCAGGGCTTTTCTCATGTGTGGTGCATCAAGGCAGGTCACATTATGAAGATTAGCTTCTAATACCTGGCTTAAGGTGGATTCCTCAAAACAACAGCTGCAGCTTCTCAAACTTGGTGTGATAAACTCAACCTGCACTTGTGGCCATTCTTGACCTTATGGCCTGTGATCTTTAACTCTCAGACCCCTCTTCCTCTCCAGCCCCACCCCGCCCCCACCTCTTCTCATTTCCTGTTGGCTTCTGACCCCCCTACTCCCCCACCTCACCCCCCATTGCTGATGAAATCAATGGAGGAGCCGAGGCTGGAGAAACTGATCCGTGTGTGTGTGTGTGTGTGTGTGTGTGTAATGATTGCCCTCCCCAGGACCAGGTTTCTCTGAACCAGGCCATCAGAGGAAGTGAAGGAGTGTTCATGCTAATTTAGAGCCAGCCAGCTCTTGCACCTGCAGGCTGTAGGCCCCCTCAGGAGGGGATGCCAGCAGTTAAGCATTGCTTTTTCCACTGAACTTGTGCTGTGGTGCTCAGTTGGAATTGTAAACCCCATAGGTGTACAGAGCCCAGGTGCTGGAGCCGATAACTTCCTATTTCTGCAGCAGGCTACACTTCTTGATGCTTAAGTTGGGCTCCTTTACCTCTTGAGAGCCACAGCCCCCTGTACATTTTTTTTTTTCAGTCTTGGTACATACATACCCTTTTCCAAAATTGATGAAAACAACAAATACTTAATTGAACACTTGCTTTTGGCTTGTAGGCTTATTTCTAAAGCTCTGTGGCCTCCTCCGTCTATCTCTTATGCCTGCCATTGGGAATTCTGCATTAAACCTAGTGTCCTTGCCCATCCATGTACCTAACTCCCTGTTTGGAAAGCGTACAGTTTTTGAGCTGATTCTACCAGTTAGCAGTCATTAGAAGGAAGAAGAGTTTCTGAAAGGTTGTGAGTCACTCTTTTCCTTTTCCCCCAGCTCAGGAGCCCAGTGCCGTTCAGGTTAACTTGTAACCTGGCAGTGGGGTTGTGTTGATTGGGGCCAGGCCACCTGGATTGAGCTGGGTTGAGGTCCACTCTGAAGCCATTCCACAGCCTAGTCATTCATTAAACTTTAATTAAGCACCTGTTCTTTCCATTGGGTTGTCCCACAGACTACATGCTTTTGGAGGCTTAGGCGAAGGAAGCCCTACCTCAGAGATGATAGAAAGAAGAGAGGGCATTGGGGCTGAGCAGCCTTCTCCAGAGGCCCCTGCTCTGACATGTTCTTCCCAGAGCCTTGCTCCCTCTCAGCCCCTTCCCAGTGACCACTTCTCCTCCCTGTGGGAGGCAGTGGGATATAAGAACAGAAACTATTAAGGTGAAGGAAGCCCTTTGAGCAGGTAGTGCTGTGTTTCCACAGGAAGACAGATTGTGTTTTTTCTCTTTTGGAAAAATGGCAGCTAATGAGGGCTCAGTTGGACCAGGACTGTTAGAGGGTCCTCCTTATGAGATATCACCCCCTTCACCCATCCCCCTGTCCGTCGTGCTGGTATAGAGTAGCTTTTGTCCAGACAGTAGGAAGCTGAGCCTCGGCTCTGAGAGTGAAGGGGAGGTCACACTGTGCTCATGCCCTGTCTTTGGCATCGTACAGAGCCAGAGGGGAGAGAAGTTTTCCCACTTGTCGAGGTGTCCCAGAACTCCCTCCCAAGACTCCTGATTCCTTCCTTTTGTAGAAAAGGGAAGAGCTTCCCTGAGCTATGGCTGCCTCCCTTCAGCCTAGGTTCCTCCATCAGGAGCACCAGCGTAGATGTGGAGAAGCCACCTCACCCCAGCTTTGCAGCTGACTCCTGAGCCAGGCTCTAGAACATAGGAACGCTTCCTTTGTGTTTGTTCCTGCAAGAGGAGGTTAGTGTGTCATCGTGTGTAGAGCCCGGTCTTGCTCAAAAGCCCTGGGACAACATCGTGCTTCAGGGAAATCCTGTCTCCTTCTTTCGCCTTGCTTTGAGTGACACGCTCTTCAGGGCTCACGCAGGGCTTCGAGGTGGGCAGAAGCCAGAGGGGCTGGTGTGGTTGCCTTGGCATTGATGAGCTCCTCTCTTCCTCCGTCCTTTCCCTGTCCTCCTGTCCCCCCCACTTCCCCTTTGTCTCTCTCACTCTGTCTACAGGGGACACTACACAGAAAATGAGAACTGCTCACTACCCCACCCCAGCCGAGTTGGATGCGTATGCTAAGAAGGTCGCCAACAATCCACTGACTATAAAAATCTTCCCCAACAGCGTAAAGGTTCCCCAGCGGAAACACATCCGTCGTACCGTGAACGGACTCGACACGTCGACCCAGCGCTACAGTCCGTACCCAGCCCAGGCCCCCGCCAAGGCCGGCCTGCTAGCCATTGTCAAAGTGCCGGCCAAAAGCGTCGTCAGAGACTTTGACGGCTCCCGTGTCCGGCCGCTCCCAGAGGCCATCATGAACCCCCCGTCGGCCCCGTACGCCGCACCTAGCACTTTAACCCATCCCCCAGGCCCTGGCCCGCCAGCAGGCCCTGCAGCACGCACAGACGCCGGCTCACGCCCCGCCTCAGACGCTGCCGCACCCTCAGGGTATCCCACAGTCCCAGGCGCTGTCCCATTCCCAGAGCCTCCGGCAGGGCCTGGGCCCCCCTCAGCCTCTGGCCCACCCCCCCGACCATGGCTCACCAGGGCCTGCAACACCCCCCCAACCCCTTGCTGCAGCCAGGTTTGCATGGAGGCCGGAAGATGCCCGACGCAGACGCCCCACCGAATGTGACCGTGTCTACCTCAACTATTCCCCTCTCCATGGCAGCCACTCTGCAGCAGACTCAGCCCCCGGACCTGAGCAGCATCGTACATCAGATCAACCAGTTTTGCCAGACGAGGGCAGGCATCAGCACTACCTCCGTGTGCGAGGGGCAGATCGCCAACCCCAGCCCCATCAGCCGCAGCCTGCTCATCAATGCGAGCGCTCGAGTGTCGACCCACAGTGTCCCTCCTCCTCTGCCTTCCTGTGTGGTCAACCCCGTGGATCCCACTGTCGCCACAGCGATGCCCGCCTCTGGTGCTGTCAACCTGCCTATGGTGGGCATCAACCGGGCGACGGTTGGCTACCCCAGCGACCTCAAGCCAGTGGCCTGGAACCAGCACCAGTTGGCCCACTTGCAGCAAATGTGCGGTGAGGCTGGTGGCAGCTCTGCCAGTGGCCTGCCAAGCAAGCTTCCTTCGGGGCGAGAAATGGTAGGGCCAGGTTTTACGGGCAAGGTGCCCACTTACCCACAAGAACTTTGCATGGGCCAGCCCTTCCACCTGAAACCGCCCTTGGAGAAACCAACCCCGTCCCCACCTGTCAATGGCCCGGCGGCCCCACTGGCCTACCCCAATGGGCATTATTTTCAACCCCTGTGGAACAACATTCTGCCCACACCCAACAGCGACAGCTCCGGCTCACAGGACCTCACCATGCCCTTCCATGGTGGGCAGCCTACAGGTGCACCCCTCGACTGTGCCGCGGCTGGGGCCCACTATCGTGCCGGCACCTCGGCCAGCACGGTGCCTGGCCAGAACAGCTTGATGCAAACAGTGGATTACCTGAGTGGGGACTTCCAGCAGGCCTGCTTCCGTGAGCAGAGCCTGGCTATGCTGAGCAAGGCCCACCGCCCTACCGGCAGCCGGGCCCCGGAACCTGCAGATAGTCGGAATCTTCATATTCAGCACCCTGGCTATAGATAGGTGCCATTGTTGAGACACAACATACACACAACAGACACACAGACACATGAGGTTTAGTCTTAACTCGGAGTGAATTGTTTTTAACTTTCATAATTCCTTTGTGATCTTTCTAATTCACTACCGTAGGGAGGGCTGCTGTTGCCTCACAGGGTGGACACCTTTGTCCTTCACCTTTCTGCCCAATGCCCAGTGTCAGCTTCTTAGTTTTAGAACATCTCAGAACAGGGTTTTCCCTTGGTTTCACTGCCCACCCACCGTCAGTTTCCTCCACGCACCTTAGCATGTCCTCTCTTCCTCCAGTTTGCACAGTAAGCTTGGCTCTCTTGTTTTAGCAGACTCTTTCCACCATCTGTGCTCTCTCTTCTCTTTCCATTCTTCACCTCCCTCCCCACCAACATTCTCCCTGTCTTAAGATAGTGGTGCCCACTGACGGAACTGCCCCAGGGCTACAATGGCCCCCTAGACCCAAAATTTCTGAGCTTGGCTTCTTCTCTGCTTCCCTTCCACCTTTGCAATGGGCTAGATTTCTCAGACCCTCAGAAAACTGTAACATCCCAGCCCAGCTCGTGATTCTCGTTTAACTTCAGGGTCTCTGCTGGGGCCTGTGGTGGGCTTATCACCACTCACAGGAAGTGTTCAAACACTGCCCAGTAAGGACCACAAATCTAAGACCTTCCAAAATCTGCTGTTACTGGTGTTTTTATGCCTGATGCCCTGGTCCTGTTCCTCCTGAAAAGCAACGGATCCTGGAGGAAGGATCCGTTTGTCCCTCCCCAGCCTGCTAATCTGATTTCTCCCACACCCCTTCCTCACTGGGATCAAGGAAGATCACACTGGAATTTGGAGTTAAAAACAACCTCCCCCACCCCAATTTAAAACAAGTAAAATACATTTGGTTCTTTCTCTATCCACTGGCTAAGACTACTGCTCTATACTGTACGTTTTAATGTAACGTTTTGTATGAATGTAGTGTGGCTTTGAGTAGCACTGTGTGTGAGTGGCCCCGAGGGCACGTCCACCCACTAGCCCCCTCCAATCAAAGAAGGAAAAGAAAAAAAACAAAAACACAAAGCCTTAAGCTCTGAACTCTTTCTTTACCAAACAAACAGGAGCATGGTTTTAGTATCTGGAGACCTACCGATTTCTGAAATGACCTTCCCCTGCCTGTCACCTTGCCCAGCACACACACATATGTGCGCACACACACGCATACACATACACACACTCACTCCCACACACAGACATATACACTCACTCACCTTTTGCGATCAAGTAGCTTCTAGTTGTTTAAAGACTTTTTAAATGTTTTCCGTCACTGAAAACGTAGATGACGTTTCTTTGTAACAATTTACTTGTTTCTCCCACCCTTCACCCCTTTGAGTCTAGTCCCTAGTTGGTCTGTAATTGGTTTTCTTTTCCCTGAGTTTCTGAGTTTTGCCATGTGCCACACAGACTCTCTTCTCCGTCCTGCCCCTCCCCTGCTCCCCCTCCTCCTGCATCTCGGGGTCAGTGTGAGCTGATGACGTCCTTATTTAAGAGTTGAGGGTTTGGGTCTGCTACCCACTGTTGTCTAGCAAGAAACTCCTTTAGTGAGCTGAAGCAATGTGACTGAAGACTGGTTTTTTAAATTATGTGTTGGCGAGTTGCCTTATATTTAAGAAAAGAAAAAAAGAAAAAAATGCCTGATTGTGTTATGCCAAATGATGATCCAACATGAAGTCCTAATTTATTGTTTCTGATTGTTCTCCTGCAGTCTGTGTGAAAACTGGTCAGGGCCCCCTCGGGGCCCACAGAAGCACTGGAGGCTTGTCTTTCACCATCTTTGCCAAGATGTCTCCCTCCTCCCCCGTCCCCACCCCAAACTACTCTCTGTCAAAGCCAGGTTTCAGTGTCCCCTCCCTCTCCCACAGGCTCCCTTAGGCAAGCAAGATGACACTTTGTCAGCTCTCCCTTCTTCCCCTCCCGGCCAGAACAGCAGTGGCTCTCTCCAGGCTCACGCCCGTTTTAAGAAGTCAGACTGGAACTGACCTGTTGGGCATTGAAGCCAAACCGTCCAAGCTCAAGTCCTTCTCCTGGTGCAGGGACACAGGGGGCTGAACCACTGGGCTCCTCCAATGTCTACGGATCATGTACTGTGAACCCCCGGCCCCTCCTCCAGCCCCTTTTTCGGGGATTGTGGAGAGAGCAGGCGAGTCTCTTCCCCCCCCCCCCACCCCCACCCCACCAGCAATAAGGGTCCAACATGAGGCTGCCTCACACCCGCCTGCTCTGGCCCAGGGAGAAATGGGTTCCCCGCCCATGTTCGTAAACTGTAGCATTACCTGCCCCCTTCACCTGGGCTGACACGTGGGTGTAATGGGGGGGGGGGTGTGACTACTTATGACTAGTAAAAATCTAGCCTTCTTACCTTGTCCTATTTATTTAATGCTGTGAATGTTTGAGGTGGATTTTATTTTCTGGTTAGAACAGTTTCCAGTGTCGGGATTTATATAGCCAATTCAGGAAAAGAGGTTCCTCTGGAGACAGCCCAGGCCACCTCTTTCTTTTGGGGAGAGGTCTTCAGATTTTCATCCCATTACTTTGTGTCTTCCACACAGAAGACCCCTTTTGGCTCCACAACTACTGAGTGGGTCCAGCACAGCCAGGGCAGAGAGAACAGTCCCCTGATGATTGCGGCACCCCCATCTCCTCCCCTGCCAGGGCTGTTAGGGTTCTGACTGTCACAGGGCTTCGTTTAGGGGAGCAACATACGACTGGCTGTTCTAACGAACCCCGGTCGGCTTTGGGGTTCTTCAGGACACATGACTTTGTCACTGCTGGGCAGGCCTCCCAGAGGCCCTGTGGGAGGGCCAGGCTTCTTGAGGTGGACCCTGTGACAGCTGCTGTAATCTCATGAAAACAAACCCCTTCTGGTTATATGAAGCTGCTTCTCATGTGCTACGGGTATAAACTAGAAAACCTTTTTTTTTTTAATTTGTCTGCAGGAAAATTAAAAAAAATAAAAAAAAAAAGCAAAGCCAAAAAAAGTGTCAACTCCCCCTTTGTGCTCCGTCTACAGTGTCTGATGGTCCCGGATTGGGCGTGAAGGAGGGTGGTGTTGGAAGGGCCCACTGCTGACTGAGACCTTACTGTGCTTGAAGTAAGAGGGACTGGCTCCTCCTCAGTAGTAATCTGCACAGAGAGGTACAAAACCCATTGAGATCCCATCTCTGGTTCCTCACCCTTGAGTGGTGAATATGTGAAGTCTTAGCATGCTTCCAGATCCTTGAACTTAATTGTGATCCTTGAGATCCGTTCCTTGAGATCCGTGATGGATCTTTTTTGGTAGGAACTTTTTTATTCTTCCCATTTGACTGCTGGGGAAACTGAGGCCTATTAATGCCCATTAAGTAGATTTCCTGATTCAGGGCCACATAGTGAGGACTCGAGCCTCCTTCTGGGTCTCCCTATTTAACCCTCCTGGGAAAGGCTCACAGAGGGAGGAGGTAGATGCAGTGTAGGCTCAAGTCCTATCACTCGTTAGTGACATTGGTTGACTTTCTTATTCTATGAAATAAAATTCTCTGAAAAGTATTTTATATTTCAGAGTTGTGGAGTCTAAATGAGAGACTGGATATGAGAACTTCAGAGGTCATCCTATAAACGCAGGAAGGCATCAGAACCGCAGATCTAGAGCTGAAAGAGCATCTTAATTCAGTTTATTTTTCTTCGTATGGAGTGTGCCTCAGGTCTGAGGGCATGTGGCAGAACTGAAGGCGAAAGCTAGGTCCTCTGCCCTCCAGGCCAGTCCTCAGAACCAGCGGTGGCATTGCCAGCCTTCAGCCAAGGCCTAGCTTAGCTTGAAGGCACCGAGATCCAGTGTGATGGCATCTGGGCTGCTGCTTGTGTAGAAGCATGCTCAAAGCTGGTTCTCCAAGTTGCCTCCTTTCCCTACATTGAGTGTAAGCTTCCCTCTAATGAAATACAATCGGTGTGGTAGGTCCAGGGCCATCTTGTCCCTGGCTCAACTCCAGAGAAGTAGTGGGGGAGCTGGTGGTTAGTGCTTCCCCTGCTCCCAAGTACAAGAATGCCCTCCAGAAGAAAAAACAGGGGGGCAGCTAGGTGATGCAGTGAATAGAGCTCTGGCCTTAGAGTCAGGAGGACCCGAGTTCAAATGCAACCTCAGACACATGATGCTTACTGGCTGTGGGACCCTAGGCAAGTCACTTAACCCTGATTGCCTCATTAAAAAGCAAAGAAAGAAAAAATGCCCTCCTTCCTGGTCCTTCAGGGCCTGATGCCCTCCTCCCCACCATACAGGACATAGAGATGAATACGCTTGGGTCTGAGGACTCATGAACCCTGATGGGTGACACTGACTTTTAGATGTCGGAGATATTGGGGAGCCAGGCTGCGTTTGGGGTATTAGCCTCACCTCTGTGCCCCTTGGCATTACTCTAGAAAAAGGCTGCCCCCTTGTTTCCCACAGAATGTTTTAGGGGGCATGGAGAGTAGGGAGAGTAGGGAAGGTAATGATCCATGAATCCGGACCTCAGCTTCTGCCTTTCCCCAAATTAAGTTGGATTAAATGACTGACTCCCTCCCAGCTCTAACCTGCAGATATGACAGATACTGGCCACCCCACTAGTCCCCAAATGGCAAGGACAGTAATGTTAATATTTAGCTATGCAACTTTGGCCAAGTCACTTCCCTGGTCCACAGCTTTCTAAATGAGAGGGTTAGATTGGGTGGTCTCCAAGGTACCTTCCAACAATAAGCCATCTTGGAATCTAAGGACGCCATCCACAAGCCTTTCTGGGCAACTGGACAAAACAAGTTCTCCAACCCATTTCAGGTTTTCCCCCCTACCCCTTATCCACTGGGGGGCAAAGTGGAAAGAACACTGTTTGGCACGGTGCCTGGCCCACAGTAGGTGCTTAATAAATGTTGATTGAGTGCTCTGGCAGCCCCCCCATGTCTCAACTAGTTGACCTTCTGAAATTTCAAGTTTCCTCCTGTAAAATCCAGGTATTAATCTTGCCTCATTTGACAAGGCATTTGGGAGAAAGACTTTGCAAACCTCAAAAAGTGCTAGAAAATTAGAGGAATTTTGAGGTTGAGGGATTCCTACATCCTCCAGATGGCCCCCAATCTCTGGGTCAGGGCCCTGCCTGTCCTCTGCAGCTACTGCTGCCAAGTCAGGTGGGGGCAGTGCCAGGATAAAAGTTCCAAGTCTGCCCTTGACTTCTGGGGTCAGCTTCCTTTTAGATCCTGATCAGTCATAGCAACCTCAGGCTCTGGCTGGTACTGTTGTTTTGTGTTGGAGTCTAAGGCACATTCTTTTTTTTTTTAATATAAATTTATTTATTTTTAGTTTTCAGTATTCACTTCCACAAGTTTTTGAGTTCCAAATTTCTCACCCCTTCCGCCCACCCCAAGATGGCATGCACTCTGAATACCCCTTCCCCTGGTCTGCCTTCTCTTCTATCTCTCCCCCCTCCCTTCTCTTATCCCCTTCCCCTTCTATTTTCCTGTAGAGCAGAATAGACTTCTATACCCCATTTCCTGTATTTCTTATTTCCCAGTTGCATGTGAAAACATTTTTTTTAAACATGTGTTTTTAAAACTTTGAGCTCCAAATTTTCTCCCTTCCTCCCTCCCCACCCACACTCATTGAAAAGACAAGCAACTCAATATAGGTTGTACATGTGCAGTTATGCAAAACACTTCCTTAGTAGACATGTTGTGAAAAACTAACTCTATTTCCCTTAATCCTATCCTGCCTTCCCATTTATTCTATTCTTTCTTTTGACCCTGTCCCTCCTCAGAAGTATTTGCTTCTGATTACCCTCTTTCCCAATCTGCCCTCCTCTCTATCACCCCCTGCTCTCTTGTCCCCTTCTCCCCTATTTTCCTGTAGGGTAAGACAGATTTCCATACCCAATTGAATGTCTATGTTATTCTCTCCTTAAGCCAAATCCTATGAGAATAAGATTCCCTCATTCCCTCTCACCTTCCCCTGTCCTCCACTGTGAGAGACTCTTCTGGGTTTTTTTTTTTGAGATAATTTACCCCATTCTACCTCTCCCTTTGTTCTCCCAGTATCATCCTCTCTCATCCCTTAACTTTATTCTCCAGATATGACCCCTTAATCTTCAACTCACCCTGTGCCCTCTATCTATCTATCTATACATACATACATACAATTTTTTTCCTTCAACTACCCTAATACTGACAAAGTTCTCATGAGTTACAAATATCATCTTTCCATGCAGGAATGTAAACAGTTCAATCTTAATAAGTGTCTTACGATTTCTCTTTCCTGTTTACCTCTTCATGTTCCACTGGAGTCCTGTATTTGAAAGTCAGATTTTCTGTTTAGCTCTGGTCTTTTCATCAGGAATGCTTGAAAGTCCTCTATTTCACTGAATGACCATTTTTCCCCCTGAAGGATTATACTCAGTTTTGCTGGGTAGGTGATTCTTGGTTGTAATCCTATCTCCTTTGCCCTCCAGAATATTATATTCCGTGCCCTGCGGTTAAAGCACATTCTGAAAGCCCAGGACTTGGCAGCTACTGGCCCCCAGACCCCAGGAATCAGTGGTATTTGAATCCTGTTAGCTGGTTGTTTTCCAGAGCCCTTTATCTGGGTCTCACACCAACCCTATGTGGTCACGTCCTGGAGCAGGGGCACCCTGGACAGTTCAAAGGCAAAAAGCTTCCGAACCCCTTTTCAGAGTGACGTTTCTAAATGCACAAAGTACACGGGACTGCAAAGGACACCGACTGTATCGAAATAAAGATGTGAATTGTCTTTCCCACGCAAGTTCATGAGCAGCCCTGGACTCCCGTTAAGAACCGCTGGCCTGAAGCTTGTTTTGATCCCCATTTTAGAGGTGCTACCTACTAGAATTTTAAGCCCAGTACTCTTCCCTGACCCCCAGTCCCCTCCAGGTGATGGCTTGCTGCCCTTTATTGGAATGTAAGCTTCTTGAGGACAGACTGCCTTCACGGGTGTATCTGCATCCCCCGGCACACATTAGGACGCACTGCTTTCTCTGGCTCCCTAGCCACTTTGGCTCTAGGCGATTTAAGAATGCTGGGAAATTTTATGAGAGGTCAGATGATGCACGGGTAAGATAAAAATCCTCCTCCGAGTCCCAGCTTTCTTGTTCTCTAAGCTGTGCCATCCAAGGTCACACTCAAGGACCAAGAAAAAAGTGCGGCTGGGGGGGGGAGGGTGGAGCTTCCTTCCTCAGTCAGACCACCAGAGGGGGCTCGACCCAAGTGCTGAGGACGGCGGCTTGTGGCCGTCTGTGGCCGCCAGAGGGGGCTGCTGTCTCAATGCAGTGAGGGACCCTGGACCTGAGCCTAGAATCCTAGGCTGGAATTGTCTCCACCCCTTTGCACACGTGGGACGTTAGGCAAGCCACTCAATCTGGCCTGTGCTCGTCAGCAAAGTGAGGAGGGGCCAGAGGCTGTCAATATTCAGCCTCCCTGGGCATCTGAAGTCCTCCCATCAGTGTGGTCCTTACCCTTGTCCCTAGGGCCTCCCCTCCACCCCCTTTCTCAGGCAGCTGTGCAAAACCTTCCTGGGCCCTGAGCCAGCCAGGCCCTTCTCCCACCCCCAGAGCAAAGCAGGGCTGGACAAAGTTAATAAATACACAATCCAGAATTTATTACAAACCAGGGCTCCCCCGCTGTGCCCCACTGGGCACCCGAGCAATAAATAACCGGAGAGGGCACAGCTTCAGGGGATGGGGGAGGGGTGGAGTTAAAAACAAAGTGACCGCTAGCCGGGCTAACTCCAGCCCCACCTCGCCTCCCTATGGCTCTTGGTATGGGGGCCAAGCAGCTCGCCTTGCACCCCGGTACAGTACAAGGGGCAGTGGGGCCAAGGCAGCCAAGGACCCCCCAGGAAAGGAGACGGCTCATAGGATCATTTATTTCAAGCCCTTAAAGACCCCAGTGCCTGTTTCCCCCTCCCCATCCCCCAGAGGGGTGAGGGGAGCTGGGAGAAAAAGCACCAATGAGAGGCACCTGAGGGAAGGGGGGTACGTGGCAGAGGGACACAGTGGGAGCCCAGTGGGCAGCGGAGAAGGGCAACCTGGCCTAGTGTGGTGAAGGGGGAGGGTTGAGAGAGGGGGGACCTGCCCCCCTCCCCGTGCCCCTGCCCTCCGCAGCAGGGACGCCCTTGCCCAGGCCAGTCCTCAGCTCAGGATCTTCTTGGGCAGCTCAACAGAAGCACGGATGAACACAGCATCATCACGCACGTAGTTGCGCTTGCGGATGTCCTGGTGGGAGATGAACTTGGGGTAGCCAAAACCCAGGGCGCTCTCGTCCACGGAGCCCCTCCAGGTGCCCGGCTTCTGGAAGTTCTTCCAGTGGGGGTCCGGATGGAAGGTCTCCGTGACGTGCTGGGGTTTAGTGACTGTCGGGTCACTCTGGTCCAGCAGGGAGAAGGTGACCCGTCGGGCGAAGGGCCACTCCAACAGGTTGTCAAAGGCGCCGGGCAGCACTCGGATGTACAGGGACAGATGGGTCCCCTCCCCGCTGCCGTTGCCATTGAGGAAGGCCGATACCTGGAGCTTGTAACCGTACTTGTGGGTGTAGAAGGCCGGGCTGAAGCATTCGTGGTTGGAGCGAGCCTTGGCCTCCTGAAGGCGGCGCCCGTAGCCGCCAATCTTCCAGATCAGGACTCCATCGCAGCCCACCGACAGCTCTTCCACGTCTCTCCGAAGCTCCTGCAGCTCCTGCCGCTGCCGACTCACCAGGGCACACATCATGGCCAGGTGGGGCTTCACGCTGTCCTCCATGTGACGGCCCATCGCCAGCTTGGGGCACTGCGGACATCAAGAGGGAGGGCAGAGATCCAGGTAGGGTCAGGGAGCAGGTCCTGGTTCGTTAGGAGAAGCCAGCCTGGGCAGCCTGACTGGACATGGGACACACCGCATACTTGGAGCACAGCAAAAGGAGCTGGCAGAAGGTAGGAGCGCAGGTGGGGGTGGCTGGGGGCGTCCACCATCCCATGATCCGTCCAGTCCAATCCCCCGTTTTGCCGAGGAGGAGAGTGGGGCCCGGCTCACATAGCTCCTAAGAAGCCCCGTGTCTGCCATGTTGAGGAAAGCTTCGGTCCCAAAGCTAAGGACACTTACCCGGTGTTTGCAGCCAGCATCTTTGAACGGGCACAGAACAGGGGCCGAGCTGCAGTTTTCTTTCAGGTGGCTAGACAAGTCCTCTCGAGGAATGCTCCCCATTCCACACTGGTTGGGGCACGGTACAGGGTAGCGGGGGCACTGGTGCTGGTGGTTCTGGGGTGGGGAGGGACAGAGCAGTGAGTGGCTTCTGGAATCCTAGGATTGGGGGGGGTGGATTTGGAATCAGACCTCGCCTCTGCCAGCTTGACCATGGGCAAGTGACTTCCCCTTCCGGGGCTCCCAGACTTACATCAAATGAACTAGATACTCTCTGAAGTCCCAACCAAATCTGGATGTGGAAGTGACCTCGGAGGCTCCTCCAGACCTGCCCCCCTCAGTCTTGCAGACGGGATGGATGAACTGAGCCACTGCCTGGGAGCCAAGCTGGCACGGGCATCCCAGTTCTTTCCATCTCTATTCCCTTGGCTCCCTACCCACTCCTACCCCACCTCCTCCTCATCAGGGCACAGGAAGGGGGCAGCTCACCTGGATGGTATCAAAGACAAACTCCTTGCTGCAGTAGGCACAAGGCTGGGTCCGCTTGGGACACTCCGTTATCATGTGCTGCCCCAGCAGCCGCCGCATCATTCGGGCCCCGCATTTGTTCTCACAGTACACGCTCTCCTGTGGGCAGACACCCTCGTGGCTCTAGAGGCCAGGGTGGAAAAGAGAGAGAGCCCCCAGAACCTTTATCCTTGGCGACTCCAAAGTCCAAATCCCCACTCCTAGAATACTGGTCCATCGCAAGGGCCCCCACTTCCCCCTGGCCACACCCCAATGACCTGTCTCCAAGACCTCAGGCTCTCTGCCCCTCCTAGTCGTAGTCCCCCTGCCTCCCACAGACTCCAGTCTGGTCAGTCTCCTTTTCCCCCTTTCCCCCACATACCTCATAGGCTTCCCCTGTGAAGTCGATGCCACAGAAGTCACACTTGAGCCTCCTCTTGGGGCATTCGTGTTGAAGGTGGGTAGGCAGGTCCCTACGGCTCAGCTTGGCACTACAGCGGTTGGGGCAAGAGACCACGTTATAACCGCAGGAGCTCAGATGGACCTACGGAGGATGGGACAGTCATGCTGGGCTTATCCCAGAGGGCTCTTCTGGCTGAGCCTGGGCATCTCCCCCCAACTCCTCCTGAGGGCCTGGGGGCTCCGTTCACCTGCAGGTGGCGTAAGGCTCCAGTCCAGCGACAGCCCTCCTCACTGTGGATACAGCGGATGACCAGGCTCAACACCTGGACTTCTAGTTCTGGGTCTGGGTAGATCTGGGAGGGGAGGCGTAGGTTAAGGACCTCCTTTGACCGGGGAGGCCTAAATCCTTGTCCTGGCTTTGGCATCAACTCACTGTATGACCCGGGACAAGTCATTTCGCTTCTCTGGGCCTCAGCTACCCCTTCTGATACGTGTGGCCAAGGCTCCTCGCCCATGCTACCATTTTGACTCCTGTTTTGTTATTTTATGAATTTTAAGATTCTGTGTTCTCTACTCCTCTCCCCACCACTCCAGGCCCCATGGACAAGGCAAAGGTAGCCAGTCCTATCCAGCTGGGCTCCAGGACCCACCCCCTCGGCTTTCCTCCTGGCTCCTCCCCATCCCAAGGCCTGAGCTTGGAGTGGGGGAGGGGTCCCTACTCAGGGCCCAAGACTGGCTCCAAGCCCAGGCCCTAGGACAGAGGGCGGGAAGGCAGCTTCCTGTGGGCACAGAGCGGTCTCTGTGAGCCTTGGAGCACTGACCCCCCCCCAGGCATTGTGCCCAACACCCCCCTCCCCTCAACCGAACACACAGGGCAAACACCAGTGACTCCAGTTTGAAAACTGGTGGAGGAGGGGAGGAACAAGCCTCCTTTGTGGGGGCACACAGAGCCCCTTGCTCCAGAGTTGACATTGGCACTGTGCTACTGCCCTGACTGCCAACACCCCCTCCTCCCCACAACCAGTCGCCAAAATGAGGCTGGTGTTAGAGGAGGGAGGATGGGATGGCCATTGGGACGCCCACTTGGCACCCTACTCTCCAGGCCTCACCTTAGCATAGTCCAAAGGTAGCTGATCCTCAGGACATTTAAAAACTCCTTCACTGTAAGAGGAAAAACAATCCAGAAGCAAGGGTGAGATAAGCCGGACCCTGACTCCCCGCCCCCCCCCAGTAAATGCCCTAGGCTACAAGTAAGCCAGGAGCTGCCCACCTCACCTCCAGCTAGCTGCACCCCCTCTTAGGGCACTTTAGACCTCCCTTTGCCCCAGCCTCTCTTATCTGTGGGCAAAGAGGAGGAGATTATGGCCACACCCCCCCCCCCACCCCCAGCCTGGCCTGACTGGGCTGGCCCCCCCAAGCAGGGCTGGCCAGACCGGTTCCCAAACCTGCCTGCGGCAAGAAACAGACACACAAAGGGTGGGGAGCAAGGCAGCCTTCAGGAGCAGTAGCCTGCTCCTCCAATGTTCCACCCTCCCCCCAAGCTGGAGACCCCCTCCCCAACTCCTTTCCCCATGGAGGAGGATGGAGATGCACAAACCACAGGGGCTATGGAGAGGGCAAAGACAGCTGCTTCAGGCAGCATTTGGCCAAAATATGGCAGCTGCTGCTAACTCATCTGCACCCCCATGGCAGCTGGGCTCCTCCTATTACCACCCCCCCAATCCTAATCCATCACTTACTTAGCTCTACAACTTCTCAGGGAGCAGGCTGAGAGTACAAGGGCAGCCTCACCAGGGCTACTCCTGCACTCCCCCACCCACAGCCATTGTGATGCCAGGGCAAAGGTCATTCCTGGAAGCCCCACCCTTAGTGTCAGATCTCCCCCAAAACAGGGGAGGTGGGGGGGCTTGGGAAGTAGGAGGGGACTGCATGAGCCATGAGACTGCTGTCTGGGGAACGGTTCTGGTCCTCCATCCCTGGGTGCACTCAGGTCTATGCCAGGAAAATATATGCCCCTTCCCCCGAGAGCTAAAATATAGGCTAACACCTCGAGGTTCCCCCAAGCCTGAATCTGCTCTCCACCTTCATTCATTATCCCTTCCAAACCCCACCTTGCTGCGCCAGCCTCTATATCATACCCACTCCCAGTAACTGGCAACTCCCACCCAGTAACAAAGTGTTGTGGAAGACCCTGCGCTAGGGCACGGACCCATGTGTGCCTGACAGCCTGTGGAAGTCTTAGCCACCCCTTCCCAGAGGTGCCCCAGGGGCACTGCATTCCTGACAGGCAGTTCTGAGTCAGGTGGAAGGAGTGGGCAGGGGGCAGGCAGAGACAGGAGTAGCTCAAGGGGCCACGTGGCAGTCGGCAGCTTCCAAAGCACTGGCACCTTCACGGGCATGGTCAACCCCGCACCTAGCTGCCCAGACAGTCTGCTGTTTCCTGATCAAGCCCCTAGGTCCCCAAGCATCCAGACTACTCCATAACCACTAATAAGTATGCTTTGAGGGACTCTGACCATACTTTCAAATGCTTTATCTAGTTTACAAAGAGTTTTCCTGGCAGTACCCCTAGAAGCCAGCTGCCAAGGGGGTTCAGCAGTCCAGTGTTATTCAATTATCCTCAATGCCAAGGGACAGTGCCAAGCCATCTGCCTACCTGTGTAGAGAATGCCTAAGAACTGGCCTATGTAAATGAATGGACTGTCTGGGAGAAATAGGCCTGGAGGGAAGTGGGGCTCCGCTTGACTTCTTTCAAGAATGTGCTGAGTTAGGAATTTTAGAAAGAAGGGGGAAGGGACTGGGTCAGCTCCCCTCCCTCCCATCATGAGCAAAGACTCCACCTTGAGTGGCACTAAAGCCTTGGTCAGGGCCAGGGATGGGGAAGGAAGATAGCGTTAGACTGAACTTTTCCCCCCGACAAACATTCTCAGGGGAAGCCTGAAGTGGGGCCCCTCCCCAGTGGAATCTATTCCCTTTCTCCCTCTCTAGAAGGACCTAAGGAGGCTGGGCTGGGGGTGGGGGAGAAGCAGCTGCAGCAGAATTGACTCCTTCATCAGCCCAGGCCCCGGAGCCAGCCAGGAAAAGAGACTGGGGTTGGGGGGGGAGAGAAGGGGTCTGTCCCTATAGAGAACTAGAGTCCAGAAAGAGGCTTGTTCTGGGGAAAGAGCCCTGCCCCCACCCACCCAGGGCCTGGGGGGAAAAGGCAGGATGAGTGGAAGGGGTGGGAAAGGAGGGTTGGGGGCCTAGAGAGAGGAAGAGGGGATTTCCGGGTGGGGGAGGTGGGGAGAGAGGCCTGGAGGCAGAAGCGGGGGAGGGGGAAGGCAGTTGGACTTGGCAGCCCCATCCCCCTTCCCAGCTTCCCCCCAAGACAATATCTGTGAAGGGGGAAAGGTCGTGGGGAGGCCCAGGGACTCACTAACTTCGAAGTCCCCCGTGGGGCCAGCTGTCAAGGAAGGAGGAGGGGAGGGAACATCTGGAAACCAAGGAGGCAATAACCCAGATGTGTAGGCAGCAGGCCTGAGAAGAGGAGCCCAGTATATTGGAGAAAAGAAGCCTGAAGGGTCTGGCAAGAGGAACGGAAGACAAAGGATAGGCCTGAGACTTCCGTTCAGGCTCTGTTCCTCCGAGGGGCTGAAGGGCAGGAAGAGGAAGGGGCAAGGAGCCCCCTCACCTACTGCCCCAGTGGCCCCCGATTCTCAGTGCTACAGGCTCTCCCACCCCCCACCCCTGGCACACAGTGTGAGCAAGATGTGGCCCTCGCTGAACTCTTCTCTCCCAGCTTGGACTTTGAGACCAAACTGCTGGAATTCCTCCAAAAAGAGAAAGAGCAGGAAAGGGGAGGGCAGAGACAGGGAGATTCCTTCCTCCTTTCCCTCCCCACCCCTTTCTCTGGCCTCCTTAGGCTTTTCAGTGACACTTTTCTGATGGAATTTAGGAACAGTTTAGCTTGGAGAGGCAGGGTGGTGTAACGGATGAAAAGCTGGCTTCTAAGTAAAACAAAACAAAATAAAACCTGGCCTGGGTTCAAATCCAGCTTCTGCCCTACTGGCTGGGTAACCTCTCAGTACCCCCAAACTATGTGAGGCTCTATATGCAGCAAAGCAGGTGCCAAACTGCTCAGGTGGAAGGAGTTTCCTCATTCTGGAGTCCCCTACAAGCTGCCCCAGTGAGATACAGCAGGTGGGAAGGGCTGTCTAGGAGAAAAGCATTTCCATTTTGACACATGCATATCTCCTCTCCCCTGGTAGAAAAGGGTCCTGGGAAGAATGGGAAGGGGGCTGGAGTTTTGGGTGTGAGGAGAGTCTGAGTGATTTGAAACATCAGAGGAGGGGAAGCCAGAGAGTCAGAGCATGGGGTGCTTGGGAAAGCTTTCCATGCCAAGGAGATCTCTGCTGGTCATAAGGGAGAATCAGAATGAAGAATGGGGCTGGGGCAGGGGGATCCTTGAATCCAGGAAAGGGAGACAAGGCAAAGCTCACTTCGTTCCCTGTCCAGGATACAAATCTCTAAAATCAGCCCACAGAAAGGTCCAAGAGAGGAAGCGGGAGAAGGAAGAGAGGGCAGGGGAAGAGGGAGAAGGAGGAAAAGGGGTAGAAAGAAAAGGAAAAGGAGGGAGAGAAATCTCACACCGGAAATATCCTAGAGAGCCCCAAGACCAAAGACCCTGGGTGTCTGTTGGGATCACTGAGGCAGGCTGTCTGCCTCTGCCATCTCAACCCTAAAGCTCAATGCCCCTTCTGTAGCCTGCTTTCCCTTTGTGCCCTGGGGGTTGGCACTAGCTTGGGGGAGGGTTGTATTAGAGTGGAACAGATGGTCAGGCAGGCAGGGAGACAGATACACAGTTCAAGATAGAAGCTAGCTGTGAGTCCTAGTGAGGCATAGCAACTTTCTGGCCTTTACCTTTCTCTGCCCTCACCCTTGTGTGGGAGGCAGTGGAGGAAGCTGATTTAGTTCAGGAGTGGGAAGAAAATAACAGGGACAAAAGGGGGTGGAGAAAATGCTGGGGATGGTGCATGAGTGTGTGAATATGTGTATGGAGGGCGGGGAGGTGGTTTGCTTGAATCACCCTCGGCTGAGTACACCAAAACTATGGATTGCCCACTGTTTAGGAGAGGCTTCCAAACCAGGGAGACCACGGTTCCCGTCACACATCTGACCTATGCAGGCTTTGTGACCCTGGACAAAATCACTTAACCTCTTCAGGCCTCATGCAGCTTTCTAAGATGGTAAATTGCCGAGAAGGTCCACACTGGCTAGCATCGGGAGATCCGAGTTCCCTACCCCAGTGAAATCACAGGTTCGGTCTCTATCCCTATCCTGTGTATGAGGGGCACTGTGGAGGGACAAAGATGATTCCTTTTAGGTGGGAGATCCCTAGGGAGAAGCTTGTGACCTCCGATTCCTCTATCCCCTGTAAAGGGACCCCGATGCCAAGCATCAGATCAACACACCAGACTGATGTTTATTGGATTCCTTCCACAGACCATCCCCAGAGTTTCCAAATCAAGTGATCCAGGGGCCAGGTATGGGCTAAGAGACTCCTCCAGCCTGGCCTCTTACTCACACCACTCCCTACATCCAAGTACTCCTTTCTGGCGACACTTATCTAGCCCCTTTTTACCCCGGGTGTGCAGTGTAGACCCTATTACTTGGGGAGGGCTGGGAGCCCTGAGACCTCACTGCCTGTACCAGAGGAGCCCAGGGGCAAGTCTGCACGGACTGTTAGGGGATCTTTCAAGAGTTCTTTGGGGGTCCCGCCTAGAAAGGGGCAGGGGCTTTTTCCCTAGAGCCGCTGGGACCTAGGTTGGCAAGTCGGTGGTGGGGGCGGACGGGTGGAGAATCTTTCTTTCTCTGTTGGGTGCCTGGGGAGAGTCCAGGCGGAAGAGAAAGTAAGGTAGGGAAGGAAGAGGTAAAAGACACCGAAAAAAGGGGGGAGGGTCCCCTATTGTGCTGACGTCACAACCTCTCTTGATGTCATCGCACATTGTTGTTGGGGGGCCCCAACGAGGTCATGGGAGGAGGGAGGGGGTGACCTCTGGCCGGAGCGGGTTCGGGAGTGGGCTCAGTAATAAGACAAAGGGTAACAGAGCTCCCTTCCCAGCCCGGGCCGCCCCACCCTCAGCCCCACCTGCCCCGTCACCGTAGTGGCCGCCGATCGCTCGATCTTCCTTTGTTACTCGGGTCTCTCCTAACCAGAGGCTCAGAACGCTCCCTCTCTCCCGACCCCTTTGTTCGAATCCGGGCCCCGGGGGTGCGGAAAAAAAGGGAGAGGGGAAGCCTCCCCATTCCTCTCGCCCGGCCCAGTAGGGTTACACCCCCCCACCCCAGCCCGCCCAGTCCGAAGAAGCTTGCCTTCCCCCATGGGACCCCGGCGTCCCATCTGCAGCGCGCTCCCTCGCCTCTCCTGGGGATGCGGGTCTGAGACCTCCCCCCCGTCGCCCTCGCCACCTTCCCTCTCCGGCCGGTCCTCCCCCCACGAGGGTCCTCCAGGTCTCACTCGGGCGTCGCCCTGCCTGGGGATCCCTGGCGCCCCCGTGATCTCGGGCTCCGGCGCCCCTGCGACACCCGGGGGTCCCCACGCACCTGAGAAACTCCTGCAGGCAGGTGTCGCAAAAGCGGTGGCCGCAGGTCGAGACCTGCACCGGCTCCCGCATGGCTTTCCCGCACAGCGGACACAGTAGCCGCCGCTTGGGCTTCTCCAGGAACTTGTAGTCGAAGCCGGGCATGGTGGGCGGCCGGGCGGCCGGGCTGAGAGCCGGCCCCGGCGCCCGCGGCCCCCGCAGCCAGCCAGCTCCCCAGCGAGGCACGGCGCGGCCGGCCCACTAGTGACTGCAGCCCAGGCGGCCGCCGCTCCAGGTCCATGATCCGGCCCCTCCCGGGGCGGGCGGAGTGGGGGCGGGGACGAGGGCGGAGCCCAAGCCGGCCGGCCGGTCCTAGCGCCGGCCCCCCCGCTACCCCCCCCCCCACCGCCGGGCGCCCCGAGCCCGTCCCGCAGGGAGTAGGGGGCGGGGACAGATGCCCTCCAAGCTCTCCCTCCCTCTTATCCACCCTGTCCGCCCAGCCTTGTTCTGGTACCCGGACCTTCACCTCCCTGTGCCCAGCTTTCTCATTCATTCATCTCTTTCTCTCTTGTGCGTGTCTCTGTGTGTCAGTCTCTCTCTGGTCACTTCAATCCGAAGAGTGCCTTGGGTCTGCCGTTTGGCCACCCCACCCCCACCTCAAGGGCTGGTTTCCCATTCCCTCCAGGCTGGCTCCCTCCCTCTGGATCTCCCCCCCCCGCCCCCGCCCCGGGCCTTAAACCCAAAGCAGGTTAGGTAGGGGCCGGGCAGGAGGCAGAGGATTGAGGGAGAATGAATCACGCTCTCCTCACCTTCGGTGCGCTTCGCTGACTTACTCAGCTATATCCGGAAGAGGGGGAGGGGCTGTCTTCCCCCCCCCCATCTCCTTACCCCAGTGGGGGAAGAGCAACTACTCCCCACCCTAATGGGGAGTGGTTGGGGAGCCCTCCCTCGCTGACCGCAGAGGGAGGACTGCTTGGACCCTAAGGATTCTGGGACCAGGGCCAAGTGAGAAAATAAAAACACCCACGGACCCAGGTGCGAATCCACCAGCTGGGCCAAGGAGACTGCCCAAGCCGCAGGACCTTGGGGCTGAACCCGAACTTGCATTTTTCCGAGAGGCTAGGGGCTGAGGAGGGAGGGGGTTGCTGGCTCCAGGGACAGAGAAAGGGGGCGAGGGGGGTTGGTTAGAGTACTGTCGGCAGGGGTGGGCCCTATGCAAATCAGCAGGCTATTTTGGAAGCCCTAGTCTTCTGGGACCCAGCGGTGAGAACGAAATGAGCCTGAGGCCAGGGTTTGCCCCAGCTCCCCGAGGACCCACGTGTCAGGCCCAGGGGTCCAAGCGTGCCAAGCAGCAGCAGCAACCGGAGGCCACAGGGAAGAGCTAGGGGGGAGCTGGAAGCAGGGCCCAGGCCAGCGAAAGGAGGGCACCCATAGGGGAAGGGAGAGAAGAGACTGGGCCTGGGCATGGTGCCAGGGGAAACCTCAGCCCTGGGGCACCTGGCTGCACCCACATTCCTCCCCTGGCTGCCCAGCAACCAAGGTCCCGGGCTTATCCGTGCCCTTGGGTGCCTGTGTGCTACACTACACCCCCCCCCACCACACACACACACACACACTGCTTTGTAATTAACTCGGAGGCAAACAACCTGGTCTTTGGCTTCCTTTTATTAGCCTCACTCCCCATCCCTGTGGGGCTCCCCTCCACTCCCAACACATACACCCCCCCTCTCCCTGAAGGGAACCATGAGATGCCATTTTAGAGCACCCCTCTGGCATCCAGGGCTTCAACAAGAAGCCTGTCTAAGGAAATGTCCCTTCTCACACAAGCCCTGGGAGAGAGCTGTCCAGGAAGGCCTTTCCAGGGCTTGAGTCTAGGGAGCAGAGAGGAGGCGGCTGGCCGACGCTGGAAGCCAGGTCCAATCAGGTGGGTACATGGCCACTTCCTCCCTCCCCACTTTTTTATCGTCCTCCCTGTAGATCTTTACACCTCTGCCCTTACCCAGGTGGCCCACACACTGCCTCTTCCCCCCCAAGATCTGTGGCTGTGCAAACTCTGATACCTGCTGGCCCTGCCAGTGTGGGGGTGGCACCTTTCCTTCCGGACATTCCCCCTCCTCCAGGCCATAGGGACAAGCCCAAACTTGCCTGTACTGGCTTGGAGCCATGAAGCCCCAGCGTGGAGTGTCCACATTGGCAGGTTGGAGAAATGAACTCACTCACCTATCCTGGATTTGGGGAAGTGGTCTTGGGGAAACACACACACACATACACTCTCTGCATGCCTGTGTCCTGGGGGCCTGGCATGGTGAGTGCCTGACAGGGGCCACCTGCCCCTTTCCTGACAGCCAACTTTGTTTGCAAAAGCTTTCAGAGGACCAAAACCAGGCCTTGATGCTGACAGGGTGTGCTGCAGGCCTGGAGTGGGGGGAAGAGAGGCAGACCGTGCCTGGCAATGGAAGCTGGCACTTAACATTTACTGAAGGAGCTAGGGGGATGAGACTGGCATTTCCAATCCCGTGGAAGGCCTGTGCCCTTGGCATTCCAGGGGAGCTGGGACACAGGGTGCCAGGCTCCCCTACGCCTAGAGATGTCTTTGATGTATCACTGTTAAGTCACACCACTAGAGGTAATATCCTAAATGACCAGGGGGCATTGCCCACACTGGAGTCAGACACCCAGTACAGCTAGGGGTGGCAGGGGGAGGAGGGTGAGGTCTCTGTTCTCTGTTGGGGCGGAAATCCAGCTTGAGGTGCTCAGGGTGGTATGGATTCCTCTGTGGCAGCTGGAAGACAGAGTAAAGACACCAATTCAGCCCCTGGGGTGGGCAGGCTTCAAGCAGTCCAAAAACAGAGTCTTCACTGGGGGAAGAGAGAGGAGTATGGGGGAGAGGAGGGCGGCATGGGAGTTAAGAGGAGGGGCATGTAAGCTCAGAAGTCTCCTATGAGGGCTCACCACCCCCCACCACAGCTTCCTGTGACCTGTCTTTGCTCTCTGGTTGGGACAGGTGCTTTGGGGGGGTTTTCCAACAAGACAGTTAGGGGGAGGGTACTGACTGCCAGTTCTCTTGCCAGAGGGTCCATTCTCTAGCCCAGAAAGTGGCAGAGACCACTTGGTGGTGCCCATAGGATGCCCCATGTCCCTGTGACTTCAGGCATCAACGAGACCCTCCCAAGAGGGTCTCTGGGAATTCATGGTAAGATACAAATGCCTGCATTCAGAAGCTGAGAGCGTTTCCAGTGCCCACTCTGACCTGGGCAGAAGGATACAGGCAAGGAAAGCAGGGAGCATCCCAGGCCAAGAGGCTGATAGGCCCAACCAGGGTATCTCTGGGGGACAGACTCACGGCGGATGGCTAGCAGGGTGTTCCCATGGCAACAGGACACAGAGGTCACTGTGTAGGGCTGAGTTTCATCCAGCTGCACAGGCCGAGGGAACCCAGCATCCTCATCCTTGCGCCCCAGTCGGCCGCGGGCACCTTTGCCCCAAGTGTACACATCTCCTTCTGCCAGTGAGAACCCAAGGGGAGTGGCCAGAAGATAGCTCCTTCCCCATTGGGGCACCCATGGGGCCCAACCCTCATCTACATGGTACTCCTTCCTCCCCCTATTCACACCAGGATCAATGCGGACTCCACATTGTTCTCCAGATCTAGTCCTGCTGAGGTCCTCACATCAACGTATTCCTGGGCACTGACTGGTGCCCCTGACTTGCTCTAATACACCAGGGTTTGTGAGATCACAGACCAGCTGGAAAGCTGGCTATGAGGTCACCTGAGTCCAGCTCCCTCAGGAGAAAACTGAGGCCCGGGGGAGGGAAAGCAGTGCCCTGAGGCTACCCAGGGAGTACATGGCAGAGGCAGGATCTAAGCCCACGATCTGTCCACTGTCACAGGCTGACCCTCTGGGTACTCACAGGCATCACTGATGTCCACTAAGTTTCCAGATGCCCGACACTGCCCAGAAAACCACCTGCTCCTTACCTGCGCTAATGGCCACGGTAAAGGCATCCCCACAAGCCACCATCACCACCTTGATCCCCTGGAGCCCTGCCACCAGGCAGGGGGCTCGGCTACCCCGGCGGGCACTGGTGCCCAGCTGCCCATGCTGGTTGCTGCCAAATGTGTAGCATTGCCCAGAGGCTGAGGGAGAAATTGGGTGTGAGTCAAGGGGTCTCCAAGGAAAGAACGAGTCCTGCTTCCCTCCTCTTAACTCCAAATTCAGGTGCAGAGAATCTGCCACTCACCTGTTACAGCAGCGGAGTGGGCAGTGCCCACATCAACGCTCACTAGAGGCTCGGAGTCGAGGGGCACAGAGCCCAGGGGCATAAAGCTCAGGGCTTCTTCCACCTGGTCATGGGGGCCAGGCTCCTCCCCAGGGGACACTCGGTCCAAGCCCAGCTTGTTAAACCTGCAGGCAAGTCAGGGAACAACACTACGTGGAAGGAGGCCACCAGGACCAGTGGAGGTAGTCTAGAACAGGAGATGGTCCTCTCCTCATCTGTCACATCAGGAACTGGCAATAGGAGGGCACAAGCAGGACATGGGAGGCTCACCAAAGGAAGAACAGAAAGGCGATGAGACGGGGAACTACAGACAGTCCAGGAGGGCTTCACTAAGGGGAGAGGGTGGGCTGGGTGAGCCCGCTACAAGACCATGGCGAGAACAAAGTCCCCCTCGTGCCTGGGGCTGTCCACGTCCTGGGATGCTGCTGTGGCAGGAGGGCCGGGCACCTGACAAACGGTGATGGAATCGAGGGGCTTGAGGGCTGTGGGTGGCCAGTTCAGCCCTGTCCTCTCACCTGTTACTGCCACAGGCCAGGGCCCGGCCCGGCACCGTGAGGATCATTGAGGAGTCAATGCCACACACCACCCACTGGGCTTCCTGTTCAGGGGGCACAGGCACCTGCTGTGGCGAGCTGTGAGATTCCCTGGTGCCCAGCCCCAGTCGGCCTGCCAGGCAAGCAGAAAAAAGGATGAGTCCTGGGGATGGAGGGAAAAGGAGCAGGCTGGGGCAGGGAGGCAGGGCCCTGGGGAAAGGCAAGCCGGGAGCAAGGGGAGGTGGGATGAATTAGAGCTAACAGAGCACAGTTGGAGTCACAGACCACTGGCAGGGCTGGAAGAGCACTGAGAAACGAATCCAACTCTTCTATTTCACAGATGGTGAAACTGAGGCCTGGAGTGAAAGGTCCTGCAGACCTTGACAGAGCTGGGGGCTCCTCTATCCTTACCCTGCCTTTGAATATCCTTCCCACTAGACCAAGAAAGGGGCCTCCAACCATCCATGGTATGTGGGATGGGAGCGCTAGAGGTCCTGGGGTATGGCACCAGAAGGCCGGTGGTAGGGGCCTGTTAGTACAGGGGGCCGGCCCTCACCACCATCCCCACGGCCCCAGGCAAACAGCTCCCGCTCTGTGGATAGGGCCAAGACGTGGGACGCCCCACAGGCCACCTGCACCATCTCATAGCCCAGCAGGGCCTCCACAATCGTAGGCTGGAAGGGGAAAAGAGGGGGAAATGGGACCTTGAGGCTTTCAGGGCTAATGCTGGCCAGCCTGTCTCTCCTTGCCCCTCCTTCCCCTGGAGCCCAGCCCCAGCCCAGAGACCGAGAAAGGCCCAGCCCCTCTGAATGCTAACTGCAGGCTAGAAACCCCTCTTACGGTGGTCTGTCTCTTTAAATCCCCTCTCCTTCCCCCCCCCCAGGATCCGACCAGGTGCAGGCAGGGGCAGGTGTGGCCCCCATGGGGGAGGGGAGGGTTTCTGGGGATTCCCCTCCAACCCCCCAGGAGGCAGGCTCTTTGATGTTTCTTCCCTCCACATCCACACACACCTGGCTGAGGTCGGTGAAGCTGCCATGGCCCAGGCAGCCGTTACTGCCACTGCCGAAGGTCATGATGATGCCTCTGTCTGAGGGGGGCACAGAAGAGGGAAGGGCTGGATCTGGGCCGTGACAGGGACTAGAGTACGTGTGGGTGGGAAAGAAGTGGGGAGAAGAGCAGGGCCCTTCCTTTCTGGGGCTTGTCGGCTGCCCCCCGGGAGTCCATAGCTGGGGTCCTTCGGCAAGCTTCCCGCCTCAGTCGGGGGTCCAGCTGCCCACATGCACCCGCCCCACCCCAGGCCCACACCTCATGCTGCCCACTGCCCCATACCAGTGAGACAGGCAGTAAAGAGGTCCCCACAAGCCACATGCTTGACAGTCACTCCCGACTGGCCCTCCAGAAAGCGGGAGATGAACTGAGGCTGGTGTTGTTCCAAGGCTCCCGGCAGCAGGATGCCTCCACCGACGCCCATGGGAGGCGCCTGCATCGGATGGAGGGGTGCTGAGCTGGGGGGCCGAGGCACCGGCCCTAACACCCCCGGAGCTGGCTCCCCCTGGCTCACCTCCCACATGATGAGGCGCCCGGACCGAGTGACGCCAGCCTTCTGGGTGCGCCCGGCCGAGACCTGGACCACCTCAGTGTTGAGCATGGGCAGTCTCGTGGGGACGCTGAGCCCGCCACCCCAGGTGTAGACGGAGGACAGGGGAGGGGGGATGGCTGGCCGGGGCAGTCCCTGGGGCACACCTGCAGGGAGAGAGTGGGGGAGGGCTTCAATGTGCCATCCCCTGGGACTGACCAAAGGAGGTATCATGAGAACAGCTGGACCCTGGGACTTCTCCAAGCTGTCTTAGGAGCTAGTGAGGGGGGATGGGAGTAAGAAGTGACATCTTCTGTCTAGTGACTGGAGCTGTGTCTTAACTGACTCTCTACAATCCCTATCTCATACAGGAAGTCACTGCTCTGCTCAAAAAGCTGCTGTGACTCCCTACTGCCCAGTAAATAAAGCATGTGTTCTTGGTACTGGCAGTCAAGGCTTTCCACAACATGTAGGTGGGGAGCGCTCCCCCACCTTCCCAGCCTTCTTTCCTTCTACTCTCCCTCACGTTTCAGCCAGACCAGGCCACCGTCCACCCTCTACGTCCTGTTCTGGTCTTGGGTCCCTCCTGTTAATGTCCTTTCCTTCACACCGTTTACAAAACCTAACCTGCCCTGCAAGGGCGTGTCCTTCAGGTGCTCCCCCCACCTCCCAGGCATGTCTACGGCCGCCCCCTGGAGTCCTTCCCCTGACTCGCTTTGGTTCCTGGCCCGGGCCTCCCCCTCCTCACCACCTCCTCTCTCCTTCGCTTTCTTCCAGCCTCTCCAGGGGAGTCTTTTCCCAGCCCCGCCCCCAGCCAACACCCTCCTGTCCACGCACTCTGCGTCCATCCCGTAGGAGCCTTGGGACCTCCAAGCCACCTCCACTGAAATGGGAGCTACTGGAGGGCAGAGGCAGTTGCTGCCTTTCTCAGCATCCCAGGAAGCGATGCTCGTTGACTGACATCTCTTGTCTCTCCCCCGGGGCGGGCTGAATCTGCCCCCTGCCATTAGGCAGGAAGCTCTCTGAGGTCAGGCCTACCTCCTTCTGGAACCCCAGTGGCAGTTAGCAGATGCGTCATTGAACTAAACCGAGGCCAGGATGGAGATGGGGAGGGGATGGCCGGCAGTACCCCCAAAACGGACTTACCGCGGGATCGGGGGCCGCCTGTCCTGCCGCCTGCTCGGCCACACGGCATCGCGGGCACACTGCCCAGGGGCTTCTCTACCCTGTGGGATGGACGGACAGATGTTGGCTCAGCGGTCACTTGGCCCCTGGTGCCTCGAGCTCACCTACCCCCAAGGGGCGATATGTCACATGGAGGCAGGGTGGGAGCACGGCCAAACACGAGGGCTGAGCCGGGACCAATGCTGCCCCCACCACATTGCTGCACAGCCTCTAGCCAGTCACATAACTTCTCTGGGCTAAACTGTAAAACGACGGGGTTCAACCCAGAGGTAGGCTGGTGAAGCAGGATCAGAGGGCCTGGGTTCAAATCCTCTGTGCCATTTACCAGCTGTGTGGCCATGGAGGCCTCAGTTTCTTCATTTGTAAAATGAAGAGCTTGAACTGGGTGCCTCGTGAGATCCCTCCCCCTACAGCTATGACTGGTGATGCCTAGCATGCCTCTCCCCAGCTCTGGGTGCATCACTTGCTCTGTCCCCCATACCCGCCGCCCTCCCCCGGCCCTTGCGAAGCTGTCTCTCCCTTCCCGTCCTCTCCCTCGTGCCCGCCTCACTGGCCTCTTCATCCTGACGCTGCCCACATCAGTGTAGAGATTCAGCAGCGCCCGGACGCAGAGGGGCTGGGCCATGATGTGGCTCAGTGGGGGCCGTCGGGAAGGCTCCAGGCTCAGCAGGCTGAGCACCAGCTGGCGGAGTTCAATGCTGTATCGATCTGAGATGGGTGCGAAGGTGCCACTCATGATCTTCAGCACCAGGGCTGGGAGATTCTACGCAAGGAGAGCCAAGGCTGCTCAGAAACCTTGTGGGCAGCACGCCAGGCTGGGCCAGGCCGGAGAGAAAAGAGCCAGTCCCTGCCCAGACACAGACCTGCCCCGGGAAGCTACCAGGCTGATGAGGGAGAGAAGACACAGACTCGAAGCCCAGTGAAGAAGAGGAGACGGGGAGGAAAACAGCAGTCACACCTCCAAGAAGCCAGGGTGAGAGCCAGGTGGGTTAATCAAGGAAGGTTGCCTGGAAGAGGTGAGGGCCTTGAACATGACTGGAAAGGAAGAGAGGCATGAGGCTTGGCAGAGAGGTGTTAAAGTTAGGGTCAGAGAGGAGGAATTCTGGACGACAGAGAAGCCTAGTTGGGGGTTGCCAAGGGAATGAGGGAGTGAGGTGGAAAGCCTGCTCTCCTGCCAGCCCCCAGGCTTACCGCAGCCTCAAAGGCCCTCTTGAGGCTAGCCAGCTCATAGAGAACACAACCCAGGGCCCAGATGTCGCTTTTCTGGTTATAGGGCTTGCCCTCACACAGCTCTGGGGAGATGTAACAGGGGGTACCCACCACCTGCGGAGAAGATGGTGAGGATTAACAAGAACTCAGCAGAGGGGCAGCTAGGCGGCACAGTGGATAGAGCACCGGCCCTGAAGTCAGGAGGACCTGAGTTCAAATCCAGCCTCAGACCCAACACTTGACACTTACTAGCTGTGTGACCCTGGGAAAGTCACTTAACCCCAATTGCCTAAAAAAAAAAAGGTAAAATAAAAAACAAAAACTCAGCAAAAAGAGGTGGGGACACAGACTGCCGGCCAGTTTGACTCCGGCACAGGCCCTCATCCTGCAACCTGGGCAAAGTCACTTCCCCATCTCGGCCTTGGTAAGACGCAGGACTGAACTAGACCTCAAAGGTCCCTTCTGGCTTTAGAGCCGTAACCCCATGCTCCCATGCTCCTCCTACCATCGTGGACTGGGGAGTCTCTCACAAGGAAGAGAGACCAGGCTTGGAAAAAGGCCCCTCCTCCCGTTTCTCCATCTTCCTCTGTTCAGCTGCGGTGTGGACCTGGAGAGGCCAGGGAGGGCCAGAGGACCTCAGGGACCATGAAGTCCCACCAGCCACCTTGAGTCGCACACCAGATTACAGACAGAGCTGAGGCCAAGAGCTCGGGGGAGGGGAGGCCCCAAAGCCTGTCCTGGAGCCCGCCCGCTGCCCCGTGCCCACTTGCAGTGTAGGCTTTGCTCTTGCTGCTCAGAATCTTGGAGATGCCGAAGTCACCGATCTTGACGATCATCCGCTGCTTGTCCAGGAGGATGTTCTGGGTCTTGAGGTCCCGGTGGAGGATGAGGTGGGTGTGCACATGGTGCAGGGCCAGCAGGATCTGGACGAAGAAGTGCAGGATGGTGTCCTCGTCCAGGAGGGAGTTGCAGCGCTTCTGGATGTAGTCGGCCAACGTGCCCCCTGTGGGCAGAGAACGGCATGAGGCCATCCCCCACGCGCCCGAATCCCGCGGCCCTCGATGGCATGGAGCCTCACCCTCTCCCTGGGCCAGGAACAGTCAGAACGTCCCTGCTAGAAGGGACTCTGGGGACCGAGCCCTCCCCGTACAAACAAGGAAACCGAGGCCTCGCAGGGAAAGGACTTTCCCAGCATCGCCACAGCAGGGACAGAGGTAAAACTCAGGTTCGGTGGGAGGCTCTTTCCAAGCCCAGGCAGAGCTAGGAAGGAAGACGGCAGCAATGAAGGGGCCCCGGGCGGCTCAGGCATTCTCATCCCACCCGGGGCCAAGGATAAGCCAACGGCCGGGGAGGTGGAAGCTAAGGACACTCTGAGGCAGGCAGGGCTGAGCGGGGCACCCCCACCTGGGGCGTACTCCATGGCGATCATGAGGGCCTTGTCCTCCAAGAAGTTCTCGTAGTACTCGATCACGTTGGGGTGGTTCAGCAGCTTGAGCACCTGGCACTCGTTCTGGGCGGCCAGCCGCTCATCCTTGGTCATCTGCTCCACTGGGATCTGCTTGATGATCACCAGCTTCTGGTCGGCCTTCCGAAGGCACAGGTGCACGATCCTGAAAGGCCCGGGGGGCACAGGGCTTGGTACACAGCAGGCATTTAATCAATGCTGATTGACAGGAAGACTTGGATAGGGAGGGGCAGGCTGCCAGGAGTGCAGCAGGCATGGGGACAGGGGGAGGGGCTGGAGCAGGGATGGGGAAGCTGCAGCCTCGAGGCCACAAGTGGCCTTCTAGGTCCTCGGGTGTGGCCTTTTGACTGAGTCCAAGTTTTATAGAACAAATCCTTTCATTAGGGGGATTAATTATGATATTATGTTATATCCTAATACTATTACATTACTAATAAATGATATTATAAATAATGCTATTATTACCACAACCTGGAGGCCACAGGTTCCTTACCCCTGTTCTAGAGGACCATCGAGAATTGAGAATAGGATCATCTGGGAACACTAACCCCATTTTATAGACATGGAAACTGAGGCCCCCCCAAAAAAAGGTAAGTGACATAAGAACTGAGAGCAGGGTCATCTAGAACCACCCACCCCATTTTACAGATGGAAAAACTGAGGGTGCCAGAGATTGAGTGACTTGCAGTGATCACACAGCTATAGTGCCAGAGGTGGGACTGGAATTCAGGTCCAAGCCAGGCGCTTTCGCACAGGATGCAGAGCAGAGGGGCAGGGGGCGGCTGGAGCTGGGAAAGGAGGGGACACCGGGTATGTGGGGCAGCTAAATGGACAGGCCACCCTGGAAGTGAGTTTGAGCCATGAGAAAGGCGTGGTCAGAATGGGGGCGCGGCCCCAAACGGGGCGTGCTCTTCGAGGGCGGGACTTCAGGTCCCGCCTAGTTGTGGGCGAGAACCAGGGCCGGAAGTGGGGGCGGGACTTCCGAGAGCTGGAGTGGAGCCCATGACGGCCAGGCTGGCGCTCCCAGGCCTGCTGGATCCGAGCTGGGCGTGTTTGTCCTTTCCTCCTCGATTGTGCCCTACCTCCCTCGCTGTCTTCCCCATACCCGCCCGCAGCCCGTGCCCTGCCTCACCCGAAGGCGCCTCTCCCCACCACCCGGATCCGCTCGTACTTCTCCATGGCGTCCCTTCGGGCCCGCGCTTCCGGGACCCACTACGGAGGCCGCGGGGGTAAAAGCGCGCCAACGACGCATGCGCAGACCCCTCCGCCTGTCTGCGTGTGCTCCCCTCCCGGCCGGAGAGGGGCGGTGCTTGGCCCTGTGTGTTGGTCGCCCCCCACCCTTAATCTCCTTAACTCGCTGCCTTCTACTCTGCGCGCTCCCCTCCCTACCCGCTGTTTCCCTTCGAGACCGCTGTAGGTGATATTTCTAAAGCGCCGTAAAGATTACAGAGTGCTTTACATACGTTAGCTTGAGCCTCCCCTCTTCCGCCCAAGGGAATCCCCGTTGTACGGATGGAGAAACTGAGACTCAGAGAGGTTGAGTGACTTGCTCCAGGACACACAGCAAGTGTCAGAGCAGAGATGCAAACCCCAAGCAATCCCTCTGCGTTTTCCCATCACACTGCATTGTCTCAGGACCTCCCCAGGCTCCTTTACTGGCCCCTACAGGAGTCTTTGGCTCACCCAGATCCGTATTCTCCCCTTCCCGTTTCCCCCCACCCTCTTCAGTTCTCCTCCCACCCTCGACGTCTCCTTGCGCTGCTCTCCTGTCCATCTCTGCTGCAGCTCCATCCATACCTGGGCATCTCATACTCCATCACCTCCAGTGGTCCCCTATGAAGTCCAGGATCAAACATGAAATCCTCTTGGGCTGTCTTGACCCCTTCCCACGCTTCCAGTTTTCCGCCTTACTCTTCCAGGAATGGCACTGGCCTCACTGCTTTCCTTAGCACAAGGCGCTCCATCCCCCACATGGAGCATTCACCGGCACTGGCTGTGCCCCATGTCTGGGGGTCTCTCCTTCCTCATCTCCACCTCCTTGGCTTTCCTCGATCCTTTCAAGTGTCAGCTAAAGTCCCATCTCATTTTCAGCAAAAAGTCTTTCATAGTCCACTTTGAAGGCTCTAGCCTTCCCTCTGAGTCAATCTCCTGTTCATACAGTATGTAGCTTTAGATACTGTTGTTTGCATACTCTCTTCTCCATTAGCATATAAGCTTCTTGAGGTCAACGACTTTTTTTTAACCTTTGTTTTATCTTCAATCCTTAGCCCAGTGGCTGGCACACAGGAGGTGATTAATAAATGCTTGTCAAATATCTATCTTTTCATTTACCCGGTCTTCAATTCCCACCCAGAGTGCCTCATTTCCAGCTTCCTTGATCCCTCCATCTCCTCTGCCCAGCTCAGAGAACGCCTGAGCTTCCTACTGCTTCCACTGCCTTTTCTACCTTCTCTCCATCCTGGTATAATGAAGTCTGGATTTCAGTTCTGCCCTGAACACTTCCTAGCTGGGTTACCATGTGTAATCTCTCTGATCATCAACTTCTTTCTCTGTTACATGTGAATAATAAAGACCGGTAGCATTTAGTTTAATATGTGTATATGTATGTACATATATACATCTGTATATATGTGTATGTATGTATGTATGTATACACACATTTTATTGTTTTTAAGTTGTTTTCAATCAAGTCTGACTCTACATGACTCCATTTGGGGTTTTCTTGGCAAAGATATTAGATCGGTTTGCCATTTCCTTCAGCTCTTTTTACAGATGAAGAAACTGAGGCAAACAGGGTAAAGTGACCTACCCTGTATCACTCAGCTAGTGTCTGAGGCTAGATTTAAACTCAGGAAGCTGAGTCTTCCTGACTCCAGGCCTGGTGCTCTATCCACTGCCCCACCTAATTTCCCTTTATATATACATACATGTCAATTATTATTCTATCCCAGGCACAGTTGTTGTAGAAACAGAACTGCAGTTTCCTGATTACTCCCTCTAGGGTCTTAAAGGAAGCCAGAGAAGCAGGGAGGTGGAGATGAGGAGGAAGAGCATTCCAGGCATAAAGGACGGCCAGAAAAAATGCCTACAGGGTCCACTAGAGAAGAGTGGGTAGAGGGGAGTGAGGTGTAAGGAGACTGGACTGGGGAGGGGAAAGGCTGGGTTATGAAAGACTTTGAATGCCAAACATAGCATTTTGTATTTGATGCTGGAGGCAATTGGGAGACACTAAAGTAGGGGTCAGAGATATGGTCAGAGGTGTGCTTTAGAGAAAAATCGCTTTAGTGGCTGAATGAGGAATGGTTGGATTGGGGAGAGACTTGAGGTCTGCAGACCCACCAACAGGATATTGCCATAATCCAGACGTGAAGTGATCAGGGTCTGCACTGCAGTAGAAGCAGTGTCAGAGGAGAAACTGAGGAGTACTTGGGAGATGGTGCAAAGGTGAAATCAACAGGTCTTGGCACCATATTGGATGGGGGGAGGGGGGGAGAGACGATGAAGAGTCCAAGATGACTCCTAGGTGGGGGAGCCTGAGGGACTGGGAGGATGGTGTTGCCCTCTACAGCAATGGGGAAGGTGTACGAGGTGAGGGTCTAGGGGAAAAGATAATGACTTTGTTTTGGATATACTGAGTGTAAAATGTCTACTGGATATCCAGTTTGAGATGTATGAATGGCAGTTGGAGATGTGAGACTGGAGGTCAGCAGAGAGCTTGGGACAGGATAGGTAGATTTGAGAATGATTAGCATAGAGATGCTAATTGAATGTACAGGAGCTGAGGAGATCATCAAGTGAAGTAGCATAAAGGGAGAAGAGAAAGCTGAGCCCTGTGGGATACCTCCATTTAGAGAGTTTGACCTGGATGAGGATCCAGTGAAGGAGACTGAGGACCCAGAGAGAAGAGGGTAGCAAGGAGGAGGGGGTGACAAGCAGGGTCAAAGACTGCGGAGAGGTCAAGGAGAAGGAGGATTGAGAGAAGGCCATTGGATCGTTGCTATCTTTGGTAAAATGGTAACTCTGGAGAGAGCAGTTTCAGTGGAATGAAAAGGTCAAAAGCTGGATGGTGAGGGCCTATGAAGAGGGAGAGAGGAAAGAAAGTGGAGACACCTACTGCAGATGGCCTTTTCTTGTTACGGAGGTAGAAGGATCAAGTGAGGGTTTTCTGAGGATGGAGGAGACACGGCCATGTTCCTAGGCAGTAAGGAAAGATCCAGGAGACCGGGAGAGAATGAAAGTGTGTTAGGGTGGGGATGACCAAGGCAGTGATCTGCTGGAGGAGACTGGATGGAATGGGACACTGATTGTGTAAGTCGAGGGGTGAGTGGGACAACCTTAGGAGTCATCCCAGGCTCCTTGATCCTACTTACCCCTCATATCCAAGCTGTTGCCAAGACCTGCACAGTTTGCTTTTGTGACATCTCTCCAATTCACCCCGCCCCCACCCAGGCATTGGCCCTTATCACCACACTCCTGGACTACTGTAATGTCCTGCTAGTGGGTCTGCCTGCCCCCAAGTCTCTCCCCACTTCAGTCCATCTTCCACTCAGCCATCAAAATGACTTTCCTAAAGTTCAGGTTGGATCACGTCACCACCTCCCCACTCAAAGAAATTCCAAGTGGCTTCCTATTACCCCTAGGAGCAAATACAGAATACTCATGTTGGCATTCAAAGCCCTTCTCACCCTGGCCCCCTACTTCCTTTCCAGTTTTCTTACAGTGTAAGACTATACAGTGACATTTTGATGAACAAGACCCTTCATCTCTCAGCTCTGGGCGTTTTCTCTGGCTGTCCCCCATGCCTGGAATGTTCTCCCTCTTTGGTTACACCTACTGATCTCTCTGGCTTCCTCTAATTCCCAACTAAAATCCCTTCTTTTACTGGATGCTCTCTGTTTCCCTCTGTACATACTGTTACTGACTTCCTATTTCTCCTGTATATAGCTTGTTTTGTATATTGTCTTATTTGTATGTTGTGTGCCCCATTAGATTGTAAGTTCCTGGAGAGCAGGAACTGTCTTTTGCCTTTTTTAATCCCCAGCCCTCAGCACTGTGCCTGGCACATAGAAGGTACTTAATAAATGTTTATTGATTAATTGAGACAGGGGTGAAGGAGGAGATAATGGCAGAAGCCATCTGAGTAAAATGAGGAAGAGACTGGACATAACCAACATTGTGTCTATGTGGGGCAAGGTTCTCAACTGAGAGGGAAATGGAAGGGAAGCCATGGGAGGATTGAGGAAGGATGAAAAGGATGGGAAAAGCCAAGTGGAGAGTGGGAGAGTGAGTTGATAAAGGAGATGTAGAAGCAGTGAGGACCTAGGTGTAGTGGACCCATGATTTCCTCTCATTACATTTGGCAGCAGGAATGGAAGGCAGTGGCTGGGGGCGAGTACTTCAAACATGTCATACTCACCTCTCTATAACTAGCCAGGCCCCACCTTGGCCTTTGGGGTGGGACCCAGGGATCTGCTCGATGCCATTCTCTGAATCTCTCTCCCCTTTCCACCACTTGATAATCAAATCGATATTACATGTTGAAGAGGGTACCAACCTACAGCCCTATGGCCCCACTCGGAATCCCTGGTATCTGGGTTTTAGGCGGCCTTATTCAAAGCTTCCTTCTTCAGGTGCCATCTCCAGCTCTCTCATACCTCAACATATCAGGCCATTTCCTCCCTTGTCTCCATCCTGCCCCTCTAGGGTGCCCTCTGGAACCCAGTTCTATTATATTTTATTGCTATTATAGATGTATTTTGTTTTAAATCATTTTGATTTCCAAATCTATCCCTGTTTCCTAAGGCCCATCTCTTGTAAGAAAGATGAGAAAAAAGTTTGTCAACAACACTAACGTGTTAACAGTTCCTCAGTGTATGCAATGGTCCACACCCATCATCTCTCAGCTCTTCAGAGAGATGCATTTTCTCCTCTTATTCTTTGTTCTGTTGACAAACTGCCGTTCATGAGTCTTGTGTCCTCACCCCAAATACTTTGTAAATATTGTATATTTAATTTCCTACATATATATTGTGTCCTCTCCCCCTCCTTCATGCGCCCATTTTCTTGTAAGGGGCTGGGATGTGACCATGTTTAGTTGATCAGTTATGTCCATGACCCCATTTGAAGTCTTCTTGGCAAAGATACTGGAGTGGTTGGCCACTTCCTTCTCCACCTCGTTTTACAGGTGAAGAAACTGAGGTGAACAGGGTTAAGTGACTTGTCCAGGCCCCCACAGCTAGTAAAAGTCTGAGGCTGAATTTGAATTCA